AAGGGGGAGAGTCATAGAGCCTGGTTTCCAATCCGAGCCTGAACATCTACACTGCAATTACACAGCCCCATAGCGTGAGCTCTGCAAGACCGAGTCAGCTGACACAGGCCAGTTGTGGGTATTTAATTACAAGGTAGACTTAGCCTGAATTACTTGCCAAAGATCAGACAGGAAGTATATGGTAGAATTAAGCCCACATGTCTTTGAGTCCCACAACAGTGTCCAGATGAGTGATGGGCAACCTGTGGCCCATGGGCCGCAAGGAGCCCCTCAAGGTAATCTGATTGTGGGCCACAAGACATTTTGCAGACATTGACCATCTGCAGGCACAGCCCCCTGCAGCTCCCAGTGGCCCTGGTTCACCGTTCCTGGCCAGTGGGAGCTTCGGGAACATGCCAGAAACCTCAACTATATCGTACATAATAGTTTATGACCAAAAATACATAAGCAGTTTGAGCCAAGGTTGATCTTTAAGATGTGAGACCCCTTTGAATTCAACTACCTATTTAAAAGATGATCAGAAGACCCTCTGCTTATTTTTAGCTCCTGGGCATGGTAATTTGACTCAGTACATAATAAACTGTATATACCACTTTTCATCTCAGATCTCAAAGCATTTTACAAAAGGGGAAATTGAGGCACAAAATAGTAAACTGATTTGCCCAAGGACAAACAGTGAGTCAGTAGCAAGGCCTGAAAAAAGAAACTATTGTTTCCTAACTTTCTGTAGCTCTCAATCTGCTCTCCACATTTCCTCTGTATAATGCAGAGAAGACTCTATTCCTGCAGAAAGACTTAGAGCATGCACCAAGTCAACTTCCAGCAACCTTAACTGAGAAGTTCATTAACATGCTGTGACTTTTCTGTAGCAGGCTGTTCTCATAACTGCAGCAAAATAGACTGTAGACTAATCAATATAATAAGGGAACCAAATACAAATTTACAATATGCCAAAGAAAGAAGAACTCGCATGTTAGTCAGCTGGGGAAAAAGCTTATTTGCAGGTGGAGGACAGAGAGCAGCATGCCCAGGCCTCATGCAGCTTTCCTCCCTAATGGGGGCTGCTCCTCAGCCAGATGATCAAGATCCCCTTTATGTACAGTAGGGGCACGCAAACAACTTATTTTATTACCTGAATGCTACTATGGCTGGCCAGCTCCCACCACCACTTTAGATATTCAAATACTATGGTGAATGGGGTCATAAAAGTATCCCTAGACAGACCCCTGTCTCATTCAGCAACTAGAAGAGGAAGTGGCACCCAGAATAGTTTAACCCATATATCTCTGAATCTATTTTTACTGGCTATTGCATAATCAGAAATAAAATACATGCTGTAATCTAAATCTTCAAAATATTTTAGTTGCCAACATTTCAAAGCCACTGACTCCTACCAATTTATTCGTATGGCAACATTTTGACTGTGCACCATTTAGATCAGATGTCAGCTTTAAATAATTTAATGAAACAGAAATGATTAACAAACGAGAAAGGATTAATAAGAAAGATACAGAGAACTCTGTTAGAAATACAGCATAAGAGTATTTTCATTCACTACAGTTCTGCATTTGGGTCAGAGAACAGATTTTTTTTTTTCACTTTCAGTTTTGTTTTGTTTTATAGAAAACTATAAGGTTCTGGGGTGATTTCCATTAGTAGGTGAAGAAAGCCCCATTGATTCATCACTTCATTATTTACAGCCAGATTTGTTATCTCAGATGTGTGGTACATGTTTCCACATAGCTTGAAAAGAAAGAATGTTAGCAGATTTATCAGGATTCAAGAAGATGCGTTTTACAAATGTGAAATTAAAATTTGGACTTTAAACATTATTTTGAGGGATAATACATTACTAATTAGAATCAAATGCTTCCCTGATTTATGATATTTTCATGACTAACTTAAAATTTACTCTCAGTTGTACATTTGTAATTCTAGAGTAACTCCACTAAGATCAAGAGATTTACTTGGGCTTTACAGTGGTATAAATGGGAGCGGTTTGTCCCAACGGGGTTGTATATGGTTTAAGTCAGGACAGAGTTTGTGGCTCAGGGTTCATTTTAATTAAAATTAAAATAACTACGCAAAAATTACAGGTTTCAGAGTAACAGCCGTGTTAGTCTGTATTTGCAAAAAGAAAAGGAGTACTTGTGGCACCTTAGAGACTAACCAATTTATTTGAGCATGAGCTTTCATGAGCTACAGCTCACTTCAATGGATGCATACCGTGGAAACTGCAGCAGACATTATATACACACAGAGATCATGAAACAATACCTCCTCCCACCCCACTGTCCTGCTGGTAATAGCTTATCTAAAGTGATCATCAAGTTGGGCCATTTCCAGTACAAATCCAGGTTTTCTCACCCTCTACCCCCCCCCCCCCACACACACACACAAACTCACTCTCCTGCTGGTAATAGCCCATCCAAAGTGACAACTCTCTTCAGAGTGAGTTTGTGTGTGGGGGGGTGGAGGGTGAGAAAACCTGGATTTGTGCTGGAAATGGCCCAACTTGATGATCACTTTAGATAAGCTATCCCCAGCAGGACAGTGGGGTGGGAGGAGGTATTGTTTCATGATCTCTGTGTGTATATAATGTCTGCTGCAGTTTCCACGGTATGCATCCGATGAAGTGAGCTGTAGCTCACAAAAGCTCATGCTCAAATAAATTGGTTAGTCTAAGGTGCCACAAGTACTCCTTTTCTTTTTACGCAAAAATTGACAGCTTCTGCAGAGAGGACCAAGGAAACCATTTTATTCTTCTGTCAATTGTTAGTTGTTCTCAGATAGGAATACTATAGCCTAAAGTACCTTTGGCTACAAGGCACCAACAGGGTGTTTTATGTGTAAACATTAATTCACAATATCTACCTGTACAGAGAAAACACATCCCATATACTACTAATTTAAGAGTGAGAAAGAGATAACAATTACTGCTGCTACTAGTACCAATCACTAACCTGTGACAGGAATTGAAAGCTTTTCATGGGCACCAGTGTAACTAGCTGTAGCCTTAGAAATTATTGCAAGCTTGAAAGAGAGAGATGGGCAGCGAGTGATGGAAGAAATAAATCCACAGAACAGCTTCATATGTTTAAGTCTTTCAATGGTCCTGGAGCTCTTAACAAAACAAAAAACATAGTCCTAAAACTCAGGAGTCTGTACATTAATGAATATTTCTGAAATTTCTCTCAAGTCTCTGAAAGCTGCACATCAAATTATTAATTAAATTAAATTGCCTAATTAAATTAATGGCCTAATTTAAAGCCTATTGAAATCATCAGATCAGGCCCTGGAAAAATAAAGGTGAGAAAAATTGTCTCTTACAGCATAAACAACAGGAAAAAAGTCTTATTGTTTCTGTTTAAGAGGGGTAAAAGAGTAACTATATATTAAGTAGTGACACCTGTACCAACAACGCTGTAAAATGTAAACAAAACAATCCAGTCGTACAGAAAAAAGCTGAATCTCAGAAACCCATTCTGAAATCCACTGAAGATTAAGGACAGCAGCACGAGAAGTCTCGGCCATTGGAGAAATACAGCACAAAATTGCACAATGGAAACCTTCCCAAATGGAACTGTGTGGGAAAAGGGGGTTGTCCAAGCAAAGCGGAGAAGCAGAAAATCTGGGAGACAGATGCGGTCATAAATCAGTGACCAGACAGGGATACAGTGCTAAGCCTGGGAATCTATTAAAGGTTGTCTACTATTTACAACATCGTTTGAAAAGCATGTATTGGTAGGAGATTACAATAGCTTATATTTTAGCTCTTCAATATCTCTCTTAAAAGTCAGATATGGGTTGTAATAAAATAGATTTAAGATATTTTCATATAGGAATACAATATGTATTTTAACTTGGTTTTTATTGCCGGGGTTAAAATACAACTCGTATTGTCAGGTATGGCAAGGTACCTTCTTGGTCTCATCATCCTCTGCTGTTTTTTATTTTTTTTTTTGCCTTGGTGAGACAGGCTTGGGGTAAAACAGTCCCTCTTGGCTGCATGGGGTAGTCCATCCTTCTCTCAGCCAGTGTTTTGGGCCTGTTTTTCTCCTTTATGGGAGGGAATGCAGCCTCCCCTCCTGGAGAAGCTTGCTCCCTTGCTGCTACTGCCAGCTTGAGTCCTTCCCTCTCCACTCCTCCTCTTCTCCCAACAGGGGAGGGTTTAAAAAGGTCTCAGGGAGCTCTTAGTTGGAATCAGCTGATCCTAATTGACCTCAGGTAACCCCTTCTCAGCTGAACCTGATTGTCTTGTAATCACCCCTCCTCAGTTGATAGGGAGGAGGGTCTTTTAACCTTCTGGACTGTTTTCTACCCCTCCCCCTTGCAGCTGTTTGTCCTGAGTTTATCACACAGGTTAACAATTACATGGATATGGGTACAATGTCTTGTTTCAATATATTTTAAACATTAATTATAAAGAACTCAAACAATATTACACAAACAAAAAAGTACAACATAGTAACTGTGCCATTTTAGACTCACAATCAGCTGAAGTTAGTCGATTCATCTTTAGTTGTTTGGTTATTTAATTTGGGTATTTGAGGTCTGGGGAGGAGAGGGGAAAGGAATATCTTTATACCACAATTAACTGCTATCATATTAATCATAATTAGAGTGTCTAATCCAAAGTCCACTGAAGTCTATAGAAAGACTCTAGTAAAATTTAGTGGGCTTTGAATCAAGCTGCCAGCCCAGTAATGAAACAATATACTATAGACAGATTTAAATTATGTTCTGGAAGTCAGGAAAGCAAACTTTTTTAAAAGAAATCTTAGAAAGGCCATCTTCCAACTCCTTGAATGATGCCTTCACTTTGAAAACCATATCTCTCTCTACCATAAATTACTTTTTAGTTGCAATGAAGGCAATGTAAACTGAAGAAAAGCTTTTTGATTAATTTTAATTCATCTGTCTGGACCTGGATTATATAGTGCATGTCTGAGTCAAAACAGATATTTGTTCCTTTCTCTTTTTATTTCATTTGTTTGCAGGGCCCGATTTGTGCTTCATGAAGACTCTTATGGCCTGAAGGGAGTATTCCTGATATTTATTTGGGATATTCAAGATCAGAATGAGTTCCAGAGTAACCTGTCTCAGGCAGATGACAAGGAAAATGTGATATGGACAATCCCTTCATGTTTGTGTGCTACATTTGGATACATCATTGTAAAACCATTCTCAGTAAATAGTGTCATCCTCAGATTCATGGCTTGGGACCTTTGGCATCAGGTTTTTAATTACATCATGGATTCTGACCCTCTGTCTTAGATAGGATGTCCCAAAATCCTAATGTTGCAGTAGCACTGTTTACTTTTCAAACACTCTCATTTTCCTGAAGTGCCTGCACGCACAGAGTTTTCAGTCCATGCTGCTTTTCTTACACTTTTTTTCCACTATTTGTTATTTACGTTTCAGTGGACACTCCTTGCAGTTTCATCCCCTCAGTTTTATTTCACTTGGTCTCAAAGGAGTCCATGGAAATTTGAAAGTTATTTAGTTTAAAATGAAGAGATTCCAGAAGTTCTGTTACTAAAGGTGCCCATAAGGTGTTAGAAAATGAAGAGGTCACCCTGGGCCTAAAGCAGGATGCCATACCTACAACTTGCACTCCCCAAGTATGAGGTGCAAAGTCTTGTGCACATAAGGCATTGGAAAATTCAGAGGCCAACCTAGGCTTAAAAGAAGACTTCAGACCCATGGCAAAGTCATGTCCATCACCCTTAAAATTAAGACATTTAGGCATTTTTGTTCTTTGACTACATTAGATTTGTAAAATGTGAAGAGATTGTGAGTTTCAAAGGCTCAAACTCATTTTGCCCCCTCTAGTTTAGGAGTCCAGATACTGACTGGAAAAAAAGATGATTTAATAAGGATACCAATGTCAACCTGGGAAGCAATTTAGCACTGCGGGGATGTGGTTGCTTAACTGTATATCATACATGAAGCAGTAACACAGAACACTCTCTAAAGGAACATGTAGAACAAAAACCCCACTCCAAAATTTTGTTGAAAATGTGCCTGGAATCTAGAAATCAGGAGAGTAGGCATTTATAATTCTCAAGCTTCCTCACAGGAAATGCTACTATGCCAGCACATCTCATCTCCCTTGTCTTCTTTTCCACTCCCACAGCAATTGCCTCTGGTCTGGCCTGTGCTTCTATTGTCCTCAGACACCATGGCAAATGGAACAATACAAAAACAGGATGACCTCCCATTCTTTCCCCCTTCCCAGCAATGCAACATAATACTAACCTAGAACTGCTACAGTAACGGTGATTGCGTGTAAATGTCTGCGGCATGCTTTAGAAGTATTCTACAAAATAATTAATGGTTGTATTTTTGTTAATTACTTAAGGTAAAATATATGTGTGTGTGTGTGTTAGAGTCATCATTTGAATGTCATGATATGGTCTTTTAGGATAACTTTACCAATATTAAATTTATCCTTGATTTGAATTGGAATAGACAGAACAGTAACTGATACAGTATTTGCCCAGACCCCTGCAGTGACAACTGAATATGTCAAAGCCACATTTACTTGGGTTTTATGAGAGTAATTAAAATTATTTGTAGGAGAATTATTTGTGGAAACTTAAGAGATATTATATAAAATAAACAGAATGGGAACAGAGGAAGTAAAGTTTTCTCTAAGAAAAGGAAAGAAAATGCATATCTGAGTAAATCTTTCAGTCTTCAAGAGTCTTGAAATCTCTGTTCACACTTTCCTTAGATAATTTTTATTAGTTTGAGGTTAAATAAGCATAACAAAGCATGCATATTATGTTTGATGGTTTCTGCAGTACATCCATCTGCTTGAAACAAGGCATGTCTAGCCTCAAACTACGAAAAGTAGATACAAGTTACTGAGTCAGGATTTCCGGTCTTACAGTAATGACAGTCTGGACTTGATTTATCTTATTATAAAAATAGCCTGGCCCTCAAAAGATTAAACTCACAGAGACCTAGATGTTTTTCCCATTAAAGACAAAGGTAAAATCCTCAGTTTTCAAGCAGGATGGGACACAGAGAGGGTACCAGTTACAGACTCTTGGTCTGATCCTGCTCCCACTGAAGACAATGGACCATTTACACACATTACACCCAAACAAATAACCTATGTTAAAAGTGCACTGTTACGATTGCGAAGTCAAGTACCCAAAAGTTAGAAAATGCCAGAATTAAGGTAGCCTGTGCAAATTTATCCTGGCCTCCTTGTGCATATGCATTATGATTCAGTCTTTAATTACATCATCATCATGCTCTTTTTTTCCTCACGTACCCATGCGTCTTTCAGTGAACAGACTGAATGGTGCTCATTTAATGAGCAGCTATTCAATATTTTGTTTTCTCCTTATTGTTCAAAGCGTGGCCCCAAGCTTTCTTTACTGCAGGCTCTTCAAACTCTGCACTGAAGATAGAACTATTAATTTTGTCATGGGCTTTTCTATGGCACTCATCAATACAGTACTCAAATGCTTCACAGACATTAATTAATTTAGCTTCTTCAAAATGTGAAGTTAGGGGTGGTATTATTCCCATTTCACAGATGGGCAGATGAGACACAGAGAGATTAAGTTCAAAAGCACCCATTACTTTTGGAGCTGACTCTGAGACACTTAGAATTGTATTGCTTCAGAGTACTTAGCACTATATAGCACTTTATATATGCAAGCTCAGCTCCCATTGACTTCAGCTGCAGATGTGCATGCTCATCAATTCTGCAAATCAAGCCCAGGGTTTCAAGCTGAGCACCCAGAAAATAAGGAACATGCAATCAATGACCACCTCCAAAAATTTGGTTTAAGTGACTGTCTTAGCATCACACAGAAATTCTGTGATAGAGACAGGGATAGAATCCAGTTCTCCAGGGCAGCATTCAACTCCCTAACCATGAGGACCTTTCTTCTCTTCCTGAAATCACCTGCTTCATTTACTACACATCTTCCACCTTCTACAACAAATGAGATAGGGGTCCTACAGACAACAGGCTCCTACATTACATAATCTTCATTCATCCCCCAAAATGGGTTTATCATGTGAAGTGAATAAGGTAACGATCCCATGGGAGAAAAAGATTATGTGATTGCGTAATTAAAGACAAATGTAATGTTTAAGTACAAAGGGGCTGAATTAAGGTTTCTCACAGTCTGCCATCCTCAATCCCTTCCCTTGTTCTCTACCCTGCCCAATCAGTCCCAATTCTCCACCCCCATGCCAGCTCCATGTCAAATCTATCTCTCCTCCCTCTCACCCCTGCTCCCTCCACTAGTGCCTAGACTCAGTCTCCCCTGACCCCAGCCCCTCATCTGATTTTAGTGCCCCCCAGACAACTGGGTCCCAGTCCCCCAATGCCAATTCCTTCACTGGATTCCCCCAGCCCCAGTCCCCTTGACTAACCAGTCCTTGTCTGCACTCCACCTCCCTCACTACTCCCAGACTTTCCCCTCAAATCCTAGTCCCAGTTTCTTTTCCCTCCAGTCCATCTCACCAGATTCTTTGTCCTAATCTATTCCTTTTCCCCTGCCCCGGTCCAGCTTTTGGCCTCTCTGCACTGGACTCAGCTTGCTTCCTCCTCCATACTATCTGGGTGCAGTAGGAAGCCATTGAGAACACTGGAGAGACAGACTCCCTGCTTTCAGTTCTAGTGCCCAGCCCCACCATGGCCTAGAGGAACTTGGAGCAGCCATTGCAGGAAAAGTTTGGCTTCATCCAGCCCTTGGCTGGAGTATGCTCATGTGCTTTGTAGGAATGGCACATGCACAGTCTAGTCAGTGCTAGTAGCTGTTAGAGATTTGAGCATGCACATAATCTTTTCGTGAATCGCATGCATCCGATGAAGTGAGCTGTAGCTCACGAAAGCTTATGCTCAGATAAATTGGTTCGTCTCTAAGGTACCACAAGTACTCCTTTTCTTTTTGCGAATACAGACTAACACGGCTGCTACTCTGAAACCTGAGCGTGCACAGTGAGCACAGAATCTTGGAGGACTTTAGCTGCTAATATCTAAGAAGTCTCTATTGAACTTTTCAAAGGCTTATAACTTGGATAAATTTCTGTGGATTTTCACAAGGATAGAAAAAGCATATTCCTGACACAAGGGCAACTCCCTGCCAAATTTCAAGTCCCTACTCCAAAGCTTGGGAACACCAGAACATAGCAAAGAAAAATCTAAAGATTTTATTTTTAACATGGACAAAATACTTTATTTTCCCCTATCCTAGTTTTTGGAAATGGCTGAACAGTTTTCGCTGAGATAGATAGATAGATGATACAAAATTCAGCCTAATGCAGACACTTCCATGTAAAATTTCAGCCAAAACTGTTCAAGTTTAGCAAAATTATAAACAACTAAAACCAAGGTATCATAGTGGGAAGTGTGAGATAACCTTAATATCAGATGGTGCTACCAGCTCTGCATATAGTATAGTAGATAAAAGAATAATAATTATTGTTTAATTTCTCTGTATACTATATGTATAATGCAGTATACCTCTTTCTCTCCTTTACTTTGAAGACCATTGTGGCATTACACCCTTTTTATTATTAACTATTTTCTAAATCTCTCTGTTCATATCTATTGAACAATCTATAAATGGAATCAAATTCTATTGTAGTTCAGTGTAGGCTATAATTTTGCTCTGGCTATCTCATCAGTTGCATCCATTGGAGTCATTGAGTTATGCACATGCAGTTGATTGACCAACCTCTTTTACAGCTACATCACAGAATACAGAGCTGTACACAACTGACAGTGAAAGTATGAGCATCCTGTTCTAATAATAAACATTTAATTTAACTAAAAAACACTCAGTATCATGTGAATAATTAAACATACAATTTACATTGCCACTGATTAAAATGACTAGCCAGCTAAAATATGTTAATAATCCTATTGGATACTCAAAATCTGCATTTCAAGAAATAGCAAAAGTAGAGTAAAAGCTCGTATTTTTTGTTTGTTAATTATACCCTAAGAGAAACTATGCTGTCATCATCTGTTTTATTCAAGAAGCATTAGACAATCAAAGAAAGTACATTAGAACCTGAAATTATCTCCCTTTCTCACTCACTCTTTTTTATTTATTTTAACTAAAAGCAGGAATTTAATCTTCATTTTGAATTGAGAATACCGAGTATCTACCCCAATTGTACAATATATAGTCTGAGAGAAAACACTGGATTTTCTCAAAATTTGCAATTCGTTGATGAGTCTGTGAATTAAAATTAATTAAAGTTGGACAATTTAAGGAATATATGATGTAAGCCTCACCTATTTTTGGTGTCCTTCTCACTAAGAGGATTGTGTGCAGAGAGGAACAGTGGTATGCAAGAGCCTTGGGCTGGAGGAGAAGTTGAGTGTTGAAGTCATAACATTTCATGGACACCTCACAGCACTAAGAGCCTCAGCATTTATGGTGGGAGTGCAGAGAAGTGAATCTGGGTGAATCTCTGTTCATATGAACTCCTCTAGTTCATCAGTGTGAAGCTCCACTCTGATAGAGTATCTGACAGAGTCAGAGGGGAGATCCTTTCTGCAATACTTTGCCGCTACCTGTCTCCCAGCTCAAGCACATTTATCCCACCTCACTCCACACACAGGCCCAATTCCCCCATTCTCTGTGCTCAACCTCATGCTCCCTCTCTCTTTAGCCATATGCTCCTCCACTGACTAGCTAAATGACCAAGCACACCATTCTCCCCCCATGCTCCTGCACAACATATTACCCCAAACACCAACGAAGAAAGCGTGATTAAGGATTGAGAAGGAAGGCTGCCTATGGGTGTGTATGGGAGCGTGGTGGAGAAGGGCTGTGTGAGTTAAACAGTGGAGGCAATATGTTGTGGGCTGTGGGAGAACCAGGTTCATTTGTGTGGGGGAGAAGGATAATCAGGATATTGTGTGGGGAGCCACATGGCTGTAGAAAGAGCATGAGACTGAGCAGTGACAGGAACTTCCCACCACAGAAGCCTCTTCCACCCAACCTCTGTCATTCACACACATCATATTCACCTCGCCCACCAGCTACTCAGCTACTACAAGATATTAGTGTGTATGTACATGCACATACATATCGATGAATATTCTTACAACAAAGTGAGTGGGATTATTATCCAATATACAGAGCCTAAGTTAAGCATAGTTAAGGAGTGCCAACACTGCTGAAGCAAATGATACTACTGGATCCAATCCTCCAATAATTATCAGACTTAGTATTCTTAGACTTTCTTTGAAGTCTGGTAGTTTTGTCTTAGTAAGTAGATCAGGTCTCATAACTAATAGTTTGTCACAGTAAAGATTTGGAAAACAATTGCTTGGAAAAATTAGGAAAAAAACCAAACCAAAGTTACATTATTTCTTTGGTTTAACCATCAAAAAAAGTAGTAACATTGGAGTAACAGTTTAAAACCACAATCACATTGCCTGATTGTTAAACCCAGTAGATGAAGCGGTGCAAGAAGGCAAGCAGGAGAGAAACATTGCTCTTTCTTCAGCACCTCAGCCAATCCAAAGGCAGCAGGATCGCTGCACAGATCTTTCTGAAAGCAGTTATGCTAGCTCCCGTTCCTTCTTCCACGGATCAGAGAAGGGTGGAATCACCTCCACCTCCTCTGTTGCAAGCCACTGGCCCTAATTATGAGCATTCTTGCTGTCTCTCAGCTACCTTTGAACCCATGTCAACATAGCAAAAGTCATGGATTTTTTTAAACCATGGAAACAACACTTTCTGTCAAAAACATGACAAAAATACAGCTTTATAATACTTACTACAAACTGGGGGCTTATTCTACTTCTATTGAAGCCGATGGAAATTATGTCATTGACTTCAATGAGAGGAAGAACATGACCACAATTGACTCAAGGAGCACTATATAAGTTTCTATTTTAAAAATATTAACTTACTTGAAAACTGGATGGCAAACCCAGATTTGCTGATATAAAAGTCTGTGTCAAATTGGATAGTCACTATGTTCAGTGTGCTGTGAATGCCTTCTGGAATAAGAGATCCACTAATTTCCTTGAGTAGCATCTCATTTTCTGGTGGCCCATCCCAAACTCGTAGTATATCATGTGATGCTTCGGTATCAAAAGCAAGAAACTGGAGGCTGTAAAGCACCATGATATTTCTGTCAGTTCTGTTATTTTTTTTCAGAAACATCTCTAATTATAAAATTAAAATCAATATAGCAAATCTGATTTTACACAAATATTTCTCCATATTACTTTTGATACTATGAACCATAAAAGTAAAGATGTGACCATACATTAAACCTACAAAGTATTTTGATAATGGTTTGAATTTTTCTTTGTATCTAATTATATTTGAGTTTACTTATAATACAATATGAGTCGGGCTATTCAAATACAGGTTGAACCTCTCTAGTCCGGCACCCTCGGGAACTGACCAGTGCTGAACCAGAGAATTTGCCGAACCACGGGAGGTCAATATTGTAGAGAGCAGGTCTCTTTTTATTTTTATCTCGCCGAGGTGAATAAACGGAACAACACTTGCAATGCTGCCTAACCAAGGCTTACCGTCTCTCTTCATAACAAAGTGTTAGTGTTGTTACACAATTTTACTGTTTTGGCACAAGGAAATAAGTATATAAAACGTAAAAAAAATAAAATGAAATCATGACAGACCAAAGAGTGCCTGACTAGAGTGTTTCAACCTGTAATCCAAATGAGATGTTTTGGTTTTTTTTAAAGGACATTTCAGGTATTCTTTTCTTAGTCATGTTAAAATAACATCATGCTATATATGTCAAAATCTGATCAACATAAATTAAAATGTACCCATAGAATTCTTTGGGAAATACATATGTTGTTTCAGTCAAGCATCTAATGATAATCTGTGATCAGATGCTTGATTTAAAATTAATTACTGAGCTGCCACCTTCTGCTTTCGATGCTTTTCTTTTTTCACTTTGTCTTATTCTGGCTGTGTCCAATGGCTTTAGAGCCATATACTCTGTGTATATCCGTGAGGATACATGTGTTTGTGTGTTTTAACAGCTGCTGGTTCTAAAACTAATCATACTATTTTAACTGATTAAATAATTTTACTACCTAACCCTACAAACCCTCATTCACAAGAGTAATGACACTCAGATTTGAGATGGGCTTAAACCAAAATAATGGATCAGACTTTTGTTAGACATATAGACTTGGATCCACATTTTGGGGAGTGAATAGTTCTCTATCTCAAACATAAGCCCATATTTGCTTCAATTACAGTACCTGACAATATTTCCTGGATCTACTTCAATCATCCACATACAACGCAGATTATTGTCATAGGGAAAAGGATAGCCAGGAGATAAGATTCTTCCTGATGATTCTCCTTTAAAACGGCCTCCACATTCAGCTAATGAAAATACAATTAGAATTACATATCATTTTTATTACATTAAACATGATTCTCCAAAACTATGTTTATATATTGCTGACCATAAGCATGTTAGGATTCAACACACTTTATAAAATTATAACACAAGACAGAAGGGGGACTTCAGATGCTTTGGAAAGATAAGGTACTGGTTATACTTACTCACATGTTTATGTATTTTGCTATAATTCCTATGCATTTCTGATAATTCTGAAGGCAATACAGTCATTATGGAATATACTATGCCATTTATTTTTAGTAAGAAAAACTCCCCAATGAAAACAATGCAGAACTTAGCTTAACAACTGAAAGCATGACAGAGCCATAAAGCACTAGGAGTAAAATAAATAACAGACATGTAAGAAACAAAGAAAATGCAAAATAAGAGAGGCAGAAAGAAACTAAATAAAACCAGAATATGCAGAGAGAAATTAAATGTTTGGCCTTGAAAAGCAAAGTTGTAAAACTTTTTACCAAAGATGTATAATCATAGCAAAGCTACATTATTTCTTAAAGGATAACAGACGGTAAGTTACTCCCTGTTAGTTGACCTCAGCCAATCATTAATCAAACCTGAATAATTCATAATCCTTCGAGCCCACTTCTGAGAAAACCTAATTTTTACAAAGACCCCTCAGGCCTTTTAAATCTCCTTATTTTGCTTTCCTTCCTTTTAAATCACTCTAATGCTTTCTCTCTTGGCCACACCAATGCCAAAATAATGCTTTGATTAGATCTCTTGGTGTAGTTAAAATGCAGTTCAATTTTGATTTAACATCACCTAAAATATTTAGTTGGGAGATTTATTACCTTATGATCTATGAGCTCTGTAACAAAATTTAATTGAAACAGCACTCTAGATTGATTTCCTGACATAGTAGAAGCAAATTTTCAGAGACAGGTAGTCCCTTCAAGCTTCTCATATATTTTTAGGTATTTTCCCAACCTGATAACCTCTACAAGGTCTTTTGAAAAATATTCCTTTGTGACTGTTCAAGTCAAAGAATGGGATTGATTGTTACTCTCACTGTAGACTGGGGGAATAAAATGAGTGCACTGTGAGAATAATATTATTTGTTGGCAGAAGAAAATTATATATATATATATATATATATATAAAATATGAGAAATTTTGTTCCAGATTTGAGGATAAAGACAATGGAATGATTTTCCTCCCCACACCATAAGGAATAGAGTCTAACATAAGCTGTTCCTGGCAGCGGCAAACATATTTGGTTCATTTCTGGTTATTTGGGCTACATGAAATTGGTAAAAATACTTCCATACATTTTCCAACATTTTGTTTGCATTAATGTCATGAAGACTTTTTTTTTTTGCATTGAAATGTGAACATTCAAATTATTAATCTGATTCTGACTATAATGTCAATTTTAAAAAGCTGCTGACTATCTTTCAGACTTTTTACTATGATACTTTTAATTAATTATTATTAATTATTATTATTAGAGTTCTAAATTTCAAAACCTGACTTAATATTTATTAGAGATGAGCCATGGTCTCAAACTTCAAGTCAGTATCAAGACTTACTCTAAATTCAAGAATGTTTGGATTCAGGGGTTTGGTATGGCATATTATCAAGAAAAAGCAGGGCACAGCCACAAAGTCCTGATTCAGAGCTCAACTAACTCACACTTCGAAGGTGACTGGATCTGTTGTTCTGATTCAGGCCTATCTCTACTTTAGAACATGTTCACTTCATCATTAGTGTTGGACACAACTGAACACAATACTCTTAGTGATCTTCCTTTTCTATGTAGTTTAGCTGCTATATTGCTTGGCTGGGTTTCATCATCTTTTTAAACCAATTTCTTCAGTTTGTACTATTATTAAGACAT